TTAGGGTTTGTGCTGCTCTGGCGCCATGGAGAGCGACCTGATGGCAGGTTTTGCACCTGCACCCTGGCTTAACTTGGGCCTTCCGGAAACAAAGAACCCCGCTGTCCTCTGCCCTCAGGATCTCTCCATGCACCTGCTCAACAAGCCAGATGTTCACACCACACGTGTTGAATCCATTCAGTCGGAGACATCACAATCGCAAAGATGAGAGACACGGCCCTGAAAGCTTAATAATACCCAAAACCGGTTAACATGAAAATGTCACCTGACAGTGTGAATGTGGTAAACAGTTAATGTGAAGATTTCATACACACAATAAAAAAGTAGCTGAGTTGTTATGAGCTATCTGCATAAAGGTCACGAGCAGACAATTCCAGGGAGGAAACAGAAATGGCAAATAAACATGGGCGAACAGTCAACCTCCACCGAGAAACTACAGATGAGCTACCAATGAAAGCCACAGTAACCCAGAATACCCAGAATACAGAATTCAGTGCAGTTATTTTTAACGGTTAAAAAAAAATGCCCAATAATGGAAGAATGGTTCCATAAATAATGGTATATTGGTCCGATGGCACAGTGTCTCACCATTAAATAATTAGGAAAACGTCGAAAACAAGTGCTTGAGGTAAGTTGGCTTATAAGCAGGCTGCAAAATTAAATTTCAAGCATGATCATGGTGTGCAAAGTATTCATCTAGACTTGATGAAGGCTTGGCAGGAAAATGCAAGAAAAAGCAAACAGTTGCTTTGATAAAAGGGGGAAACATTACTGCGAGCCCACCGCATGCCAGATGCCACGCCAAGAGCTCACACACGCGTCATCTCACTTCATTCTGCAGCTTGCCCCAGGGCCCTGTGGAGGTAGGAGCGGCTCCTGGTTCCAGACTGGGCGGCGGGGGGCAGCAAGGAGGCGGCCAAAGCTGCCTGAGGGGGTGTGACAGTCTCTGGCAGCCAGGCCACCCGCCCTGGCGTGTGCAGCTCCAAGTGCAGAGAGCTTTCCAATGCGTCAGATGTGTCAGATGGACGCGGGCCAGTGGCGTTGCTTTCTCTTTAAACATTGCCTTTAGTGCTTTTTAAATGTCATCTGCACAATTAAAACACAATTAAAAGACAAACCCAAGCTGTCTCCAGAAGGCAGTCTCGCTGGTCCCTGTTCCTCCAGAGAGTTTCACAGGGCCACGGACCCACCCTGCTGTTGGCTGACGTCCACGGTTTTTGCTCAAACAATACCAGGAAACAGTCTTGCCGAATCTTCTGTCCCTTCATCATAGGGGGGCATTTCCTGCACGCTCATCGCCGGGGACTCCTTCCTCTTGGGCCACCCTGGGACGCTCTGGGTACCTCTGCAATAGGGTCCCAGGACTGTGGCCAGTATTGCAAAAAGACACGTGGACACTGGGCTTTTGTCTTGGGTAGGAATTTGTGGGCAGATGAAATCCCCAGGGGGGCTGATCCTCAGATGGAGTTGGGGCATCACAGGGAGAGGTTATGGGTCCTGGGAAACAGGTCCCGGGAGCCCTGGCCTGAGTTGCCTCTTCTGGGAGGGTGTCTGAGTGGGCTCCCTGGGGAGGCGACCTTCTCAGCTGACATGTAGACAGAGGGAAAGAGTTAGCCTGGCCAGGAGCACGAGGAAAGGGGAGTCTCCCCGGGTACAAGCCCTGAGGCAGGGAAGCTCTCCGGCTTGCTAGGACCTGCTGAGGTCAGCAGAGGCCAACCTGTCCCACCACAGATGGTGAGACCCTGGGAAGTCAGTGGATGGGTTCCTCAGAGTTGGAACTTCTCATTTGAAAAGATTGAAACTGATGGCTTCCCCCAGGCCTCCTCTCCAAAAGCAACCAGAAAAGGAAGACCCTCTGACATTGAGAAAAGCAAGCATTATAACTAGATGAAAGGGCAGGGAGGTCCGGAATGGAATGCGGGAAGACACCGAGAATCCACGTCTCGGAGCAGGTGCACTGGAGGGTGTGTGGTGTACAGGCCAGCCACAGTGATGACCCTGACCTATTTCAATCTCATGAAACACAGGCTTTGAGGCTGACTTACCAGCTACATTCAGGGTAGGTGTCTGACATGCTGATTAAATCGCTGCTTGGGATACCCTCACCCCATATGAGAATGCTGGTTGGAATCCCAGCTACTGCTCTTTTGATTCAGCTTCCTGCTAATGCACCCTGCCAAATAACAGATGGCTCAAGAATTTGCACCCATGCCACCCAGGTGGGAGTTTCAAATAGAGTTCCTGGCTCCTGGCTTCAGCATGATCCAGCCAGATATCGTGGGCGTTTGAGGAGCGACCCAGCAGATAGAAGATCTTTTGTGGGCTGTCCTTCTGCCTTTCAAATAAAATGAAAATAAATAAGCAAGTATAATTTTTTTGTTTTTTAAAGGATTTATTTATTTGAAAGACAGAATTACAGAAAGAGAGGAAACAGAAAATTTCCATTTGTGCATTCATTTCCCCAGTGGCCGTAATGGCTGGGGATGGGCCAGGAGCCTGGAACTCCATCCAGGTCTCCCATATAGATGGCAGGAGCCCAAGCATTTGGGCCATTCTCCACTGCCTTCCCAAGCACATTAGTAGAAAACTGGATCAGAAGTGTAGCAGCTGGGAATCAAACCGTTGTTCATGTGGAATGCTGGCATGGCAGCTGACAGCTTAACTCACTGTGCCACAGTGCTGGCCTCCAGTAAGAAAAGAGTTAAAAAAAAAAAAAAAAAGAGCGGGGGAAACAATTAGTACAGTCCAAGAAAATTGATTCTGAATGATCAATACCAAGATAAACGCTAATGAAAAGGTATTGTATAGTGAGATGGAGAAAGAATCCTTTGTATACAGGACAGGACTAGGCAAGGCTGGCTTCTGGTTCCTTTGTGGAAGCCTACAAGACCAGAACACAATCGAACAACACTTACAAAGTCATCCAGCGAACAAGGTGGGACTCAAGACTTTCATTTTCAGCCAAACTGCTCTTCAAGTACAAAGACAAAAGACAACATTTTTGAATGTGTGTGGGAAGCTGAAGGCTGAGGCAGCAGTATGGTCTGGATTGTTGGAAGAAAAGAATTTTTGACTTGGCTCGGTAGCCTAGTGGCTAAAGTCCTCGCCTTGAACACACCAGGATCCCATATGGGTGCCAGTTCTAATCCTGGTGGCTCCATTTCCCATGCAGCTCCCTGCTTGTGGCCTGGGAAAGCAGTCAAGGACAGTCCAAGGTCTTGGGCCCCTGCACCTGCGTGGGAGACCTGGAAGAGGCTTCTGGCTTCGGATCAGCTCAGTTCCAGTTGTTGCAGCCACTTGGGGAGGTGAACCAACAAACGGAAGATCTTTTTCTCTGTCTCTCCTCCTCTCTGTCTACCTGCCCTTCCAATAAAAATAAATAAATAATTTGAAAAAAAAAGAATCTTTTCCTTACGGTAACCTCGAGTGTACATTCTTATTCAACAAAGACTTCAAGACTGTGTATTGAGGGAGTGTCGAGTCTGACACCAAAGCTACAGAGGGCAAGAAGACAGTGCCCCCGGAAGAGGTGAGTTGGCACTGGCGGATGAACATTGTGGCACAGTGAGTTAAACCCGTGCCTGCATCACCAGGACCCCCTATCAGAGTGCCAGCTGCTCTGCTTCTGACTCAGCTTCCTGCTAATGTGCCTGGGAAGATAGCTCAGGATGGTGCAAGTGGTTGGGTTCCTGACACCCACATAGGTGTCAGAGGAAGCTCCTGACTGCTGGCTTTGGCCTGGTCCAGCCCTCGCCTTGCAGCCATTCGGTGCATGGATCAGCTGATAGGTCTCTCTTTGTTATTCTGACTTTCAAGTAAATCAATGAATCTGACAGCATGCAGGGTGTTCCAGGACAAGCAAAGTATAGCTGCCAAGGCAGGCAGCTGTGACTTGTAAAACACCTAGGGTGTGATTCCAACCTTCCGGGTGTTTGGGATGGGCTGAGCAGGTGCGTTGGGGTGGGAAATGGACAGGAAACCTTAGCACTGAGCTTGCCAAAGGTCGTGGAGTGACTGAAGCAAGACGATTCCCATTTCATTGCAAGGGTCCGGATTGTACCATTGCCACGGTGACTTCACCCAGAGACCATGCTTGACGGAGCTCGTTACAGTCACTCGCCATAAAGTCAGAAACTGGCAAGGCCGCCCACGCTTGCTGCTTTTGTCCAATGTTATATTGCAACCCAAGAAAGAAATAGACAGCCTCAGGGCTGTTGTCAGGGTGGACACTTGGCAGTGGTTAAGTTGCTACCTGGATTGCCCACATGCTATTTTGGAGTTCCTGGCCCCAGCTCCACTTCCGACCCAGCTTACTATTAAGGCACAGTCTGGGAGACAGTGCGTGATGACCCAAGCACTTAGGTCCCTGTCACTTACCTGAGAGACCCATACAGAATTCCTGGCTCCAGGTTTCATCCTAATCCTGTCCTGGCTATTGTGAGCATTGAAGGAGTGAACCAACCAGAGACCTCTCTCTCTTGCTCTTGCTTACACTCTCGCTGTCTGTCTTTCACTGTTTTTGACCTTCAAATAATAAAGATTTTACAGGGATCACTGTGGCATTTACCTTTGTTTCATAGCTGAGACAAGAACTGTGCTTGTATATTTCCTTCCTTGTGCATCTTTATAGATTTCCTGGAGTTGCCCATTGCCTTTCCTTTGTTCTTATCCTATTTGCCGTTATTATCCAGGGTAGACTCCTCCTGAAAACCCAGCAAGGATGTTATTCTCATTCTATAGATGGAGAAGGAGGCTAAGCCTGATAAAAATCCACAAGCAATACTCAGTGGTGCCAAGATTCTTTTAAAACAGTGAGTTTGTTTATTTGAAAGCCAGAGAGACAGGCATACAGACCAAAAGAGAAAAAGATCTCCCATCCACTGGGTCACTCCCCCAGTGACCTTAAGAGCCAGAGCTGGGCCAGGTGAAAGTCGGGAGCTAGGAGCTCCATGTGGTTGTCCACATGGGTGCAAGGGCCCAGGCACTTGGGCTCATCTTCCGGTACTTTCCCAAATGCATTTACAAGGAGCTGAAACAGAAGCAGAGCAGCCAGGACTTCAGCCTGCAACACTGACCCCAGGATCCAACCTATGTCATAGGACAAGTATCAACTGCGAAGCTGGTACATACAAAAGGAAATTGCCTGTATTGAGGGGGTCAGAGCTGTGGTTGGAACATTCCTCTTATTTGAACTTGAAGTTTGAGGTGAGCAGGCCAGCAGAGGGAGGCTCCAAAGGGCACCTGATGGGCGCAGCACTATGGCTTAATGGCTAAATCCTCATCTTACAAATGCCAGGATCCCACCTGGGCTCTGGTTCATGTCTCAGATGCCCCATGTCCCATCCAGCTCCCTGCTTGTGCCCTGGCTCCTGGTTTCAGATTGGCTCAGCTCCGGTCATCATGGCCATTTGGGGAGTGAACCAGTAGATGCAGGATCTTTCTCCTGTCTCTCCTTCTCTCTGTAAATCTGACAGGGAAGCACCTGACCAGCAAAGCTCTCTGAAGCAGCACATGGAGGGCCAGCCACATGTCTTCATCCAACTTCTCAGGGGACTTATCACCTCCATCCCACCGCAGGACACTTATACACTCGCTCCCTGGCCTTGAACACGCTTCTCATCCTTCAGGCCCCCATGCCCTGCCTTCATCACCCCTTCCCCGGGGGGTGTCCACTGAGGCTCTGCTGGGAAGTTAGGGTCCACCTGCCCAGGATACCTCCTGGGAGCTCTCCAACCTTTTATAGCTGTGGGGGACATCCTGCCCCTTCAGCAGGCCAGCCTCTTCCTGTGTGTCCTCAGCCAGGCTGGTGGGGTACTCCCTCCTGGGCCTCTGGAGACATAGGTGAACTGAAGAGCCTGGAAAATTCCATGCTATTCTGCACCTAGAAGCAGAAGCCTTCTTCCTGAACCCTCAGGAGCTCCCCAAAATATCTTCTGTCTCTCTAAATCTTATACCTATCTGGCTGTTTATTCAATGTATTTTTTAAAGATATATTTATTTTTATTGGAAAAGCAGATTTACAGAGAGAAGAAACACAGAAAGATCATCTATCTGCTAGTTCACTCCTCAAGTGGCCTCAATGGCCAGAGCTGAGCCAATCTGAAACTAGGAGCCAGGAGCTTCCTATGGTCTCCCACATGGGCACAGGGTCCCAAGGCTTTAAGCCATCCTTCACTGACTCCCCAGACCGCAACCAGGGAGCTAGATAGGAAGTAGAGCAACTGGGAAATGAACCAATGCCCTTGTGGGATCCTGGTGTGTTTGGAGATGGAGAATTAACCATTGAGCTGTCAAGCCAGCAGAAATCCCCCCGATTTCTTTATTTATTGTACACACACACACACACACAGTGTGAGCCCCCCATCCACTGCATCACTTCTCAAATGTCCTGACTGTGACTAGGCCAGGGCCAAAATCAAGAGCTACAAAGTGACTCCAGATCTCCCACGTGGATGGCAGGGACCTGGTGGTTTGAAGAATTATAGCCACCTCCCAGCGTCTGTATTAGCAGAAACAGAGTCAGGAGCTGGAGCCAGGGCTCAAATCCAGCTAATCCGACATGGTATTCCAACAGCATCTTAACTGCCAGGCCAAACACCTGCCCCTCAGTGCATTTCATGAGCTTGGGCTAAGCCCTGGGTACAGATGTCAGGGCAGGCTACTGGTACACAAGCATGCTGGCCCACGGAAGGCCCACGCTCCTCCCCCAGTCTCACAGGGCTGTGACTGCCCAAAAGAGTATCCTACTCTTATGCCACACAGTACTGCCTGGACAGGCAGCATCCCTGCACATGGATGGGTAAAGCCCACGTGATCCTTGCCCTCAGGGCTTGTCTCTGCAATGGGAGACAGACAAGTAATTAACAGCGGGACCTATCATTAGAATTCAGCCCTATTTGGTTAGCGAGGTCGCTGAGTCTCTGGGAAGTTAAGTACTTGGTGAGTGACAGGGTCAGTGTTCAAGTGCAGAGCCCTACAGCGTGAAATGGGTGTCCTTAGCTGTGTGGGCCCTGATGCTCAGCCCCAGCGCCCTCTCCAGCATCTGTGTCTGCCTCCTTTTGACTCCTTTAGTGACAAACTCAGGGTTCTGTGACCATGAAGTCCCCTCCTGTTGGCCTTGCTGGCTCCTTCAGCTCTGTTCCACCTATGCCCTCTCTCTGACTGCCAAACCTCCTGCCCGCCCCAGCCCCTGCTGCCTGTCGCCAAGTGACACCTGCAGTTGGTGCTTCCTTCTCTGGGAGTGGGTCATGCATCCTGGGGCACAAACCTGAGTGAGTCACGCATCCTTGGGGGCAAGCAGGGCACAGACCTGAGTGATAAGCTCTGTGCCAGCCTCAGCATTCCATTCCCAGCAGCACTTACCCAGGAACAAGCTGAGGACAATAGGAACGCACTGCTGAAGCCCCAACTGGAGTTCAGAGTGAAAGGGAAGCAGGGCAAGGACTCAGAACTCCAAAGAGGTGTGCACTCCCCAGGTGATCCACAAAGTTTATGCAACTCTGACCAAAGCATCCAAAATATGTATTCATCTGAAAGGCAGAGTATGAGCAAGAATGTGGGATGGAGGAGCAGTGGGGAGAGAGAGAGAGAGAGAGAGAGAGAGAGAATTTTGCATCTGCTTGATTCATTCCCCACACAGCCAGGGGTGGGCCAAGATAAGCCTATGATCTTAGAACTCCATCCAGGACTCTCCCATAGGTGGTGGAGACCCACACACCTGAGCCATCACCTGCTGTCTCCCAGGTGAGCGTTCACAGAAAGCTGGAATGGAGAGCAGAAAAGCCAAGATCTCCAGGCTCAGCAAGGTGGCCTAGTGGCTAAAGTCCTCACCTTGCACGTGCCGGGATTCCATATGGGCGCCAGTTCGTATCCCTGCGGCTCCACTTCCCATCCAGCTCCCTGCCTGTGGTTTGGGAAAGCAGTCCAGGACCGCCCTAAGACTTGGGACCCTGTACCTGCGTGGGAGACCTGGAGGAAGATCCTGGCTCCTGGCCTTGGATCGGCTCAGCCCTGGCCATTGCAGCCACTTGTGGAGTGAATCAATGAACAGAAGATCTTCCTCTCTGTCTCTTCTCTGTATATCTGACTTTCCAATAAAAATAAATCAATATTTTTTTAAAAAGCCAAACCCTCCAACAGAGGACTCGGGCAGCCCATGCTGAGCCTTTATTACTCCTTGAAGGCATTTTGGGTGGAAGCTGACGAATGATTCTCAAGCCAATCTAGAAGGGGAAAAAATGCAAAAACAGAATATTCAAAACAATTAGTGTTTTTTATTGTACTAAAATACACAGAACCCAGTACTTACCATTCTAGCCCCTGGTGAGTCCAGTGGCATCATTCAGGTAGCGTGCAACCAGTACCACCTGCTGAACTTCCACAGCTTCCTTGTTGGAAATGCCAACCACCAAACAGTACCTCCCCACTCCGCCTGCTGCAAGAAGCATTTTAAATGAGCAAAAACAAGGGACTTGTCAAACCAGAAATAAAATTGTGCTGTAAAATAAGATAAATATTACTTATCTAGTTGTATCTGTAACCGAGTAGCATCTTTCTTTCTATCTTTTATCTATCTCTATCATCCCTCTGCACATATCCATCTAGCTAACTAGTGCAGCATTTTAAACCTGTGAAGAACAGACAGGCGATCAGACACACAGCGTTAGGATAACAGATCTCCAATTTGAAAAATATAAAATTCAGACTCTGTCTTACAGCAAACCCACACACAAAAGAGGCTTTGAGTTAAAGAACTAACTGTGAAAAAAAAAAATTCTGTAAAAGCCTCAGATAAATCAAAAAAATAAATAAATAAAAAACAGGAAAGATGGCTCGATTTAACTTCATCAAAACATTGAACTGCTGAGTGGCAGAAGATTCTGAACCAAGTGAAAAGACAACGGAGTGAGAAAACAAGCCGCGCAGACATACAGGAAAGGCAACAAGAACTTATCTTGCAATAATAACAATTTTGCTTTCATTTTCCCCACATCTGCCGTCAATCAGAGGTTCCACTTTAGAGCCCGGAGAATTAGTGCTTTTATAACAGAAATATAAAGAGAGAGAAACAGCCGGTGTTTAGATGCCATTGTTTTTTCAACTTCCCAGATAGACTGACTGAAGCCCACATCAGACAGAGGCCATGCCTTTGATTGGTGAGAGGCTGCTTTTGCCCAGAGAAGAAAATGCTCTTGAAAATCAAAGGGGACAGTCCTGGAGGAGGCTGCAGATAAAATGGATGTCTCCGCCTCAGATTTGAAAAGGACCTGGAGCTGCCAGAGACCCTGGCTCCCCCGCGGAGGTGAATGGGCTCCCCCCCACCAAGACAAAAAAAAAAGGGGGAGAGAAAGTAAGGCTTGACCTTGAAGAAGAAAGGAATAGGGCCTTCAGGACCACAGGCGGGGGAGGGGAGCGAGCGTCCAGAGACAGTCCAGCCCCCTCTGCCACCACTGCCGAGAGCTTCCTGGTGGGGCTGCCACCATAGCACACCCTCCGCAACCACTCCCATCACACAGGCCATGTCGATGAAAGGGCCACAGTGACCGTCGGCTCTTCATTGCCTGGAAGGCTCTGCGCTGTGACGCCCACACACATCTGGAAGCTTTGCTGTGGACTCCCACCCACACTTACCCAGCATGCGTTTCCTTTTCCTAGGGCTCAGGCCACCCATCAGCCTCCCAAAGAAGACCAAGCGATTCCTGACTCTCACAGAAGAGCTAAGAGTTCAGAGGTGATGACCTCCCTCAACTTGTGCTGAATAGAACTAGATCATGGTCCAGTGTACCCTGGCTAAAGAGGTCCACCATACATAAAAAGCTTCTACAAATGAACATAAGACAACAATAATCAAATAGAAAAATGGTCAAAAGATACTAAAAAAGAGAGAAAGGATTCACAGAAATATAAACATCTAATAAGTTTATGACAAGAAGTTGAGTGCTGATTAGAAAAATCTAAAGTGTGATACATTTTATGATTAATTTGAAAAGTAGAGAGACAAAAACAGAGATCTCCACTGTTGTGCTGGTTTATTCCTGAAAGGTCCACAATAGACTGTGCAAGGTTAGAGCCAGCAGCTGGGAGCTCTGAGTCTTCCACGTGGGTGGCAGGAGCCCAACAACTTGGGCCATCACCTAGTGCCTCCCAGGATGCCCATCAGCAGGATGGACTTGGGAGTAGTGCTGGGACTCAAACGCAGACACTTAGGTACAGGACACAGGTGTCCCAGGCAGTAGCAATATTATTGCTACACCAAATGCCTTTCCCAACAAGGCATTTTTTGATTAGCAATTTGGTAAAAATGCTCCCTGTATCCTGGGCCCAAGTGTCAGAGCCAGGCAGCTGAGAGGCAGCCCATCCCCTACCCCTGCATCTTTTGGGGGCTGGAGACTTAGGAATCAAGGGCAGCTGCTTGAATGGCCTTAAGTGGGTAAGTGACGCGGTCGAACTCGGGTGTTCATTTAGCCCACATCTGCAAGAAGGAAATGGGTTTGGCCCCGGCTAAACCGCATTATGAGACACCTGAGACTTGGAGGAACAACCTAGGGCTGCAGGGTGCTCCTGTAGCTCTCTCTCTCACACACACACACACGTGCACATGCACATACATACACATATGCACACACAAGTGCAGACTTAGTGCAGCCTCCACTGAGACATGCCTGTACCTGGTGGGGGTACCGCTGCAGGGACCCAGCTGGGTGCTTGGGAGCTGCAGCCCACAGCAGGAAGTGGTATTTGAGTCCTTGTGAGAACCTGCCAGGACACCATGCAGATGCTGGGGCCTTCCCACGACCCAGCTGACTCAGGGCTGCTGACAGATAGTTGCCTGCTCCTCAGGTCACCCACTGCCAACGTGCCCAGAATTCTGCTCAGTTTTCCCACCTTGGGTCTTCTTTCTTAGCCAGGGAGCAGGTGCCCAGGTGTCAGTCATCTAAAGGACACTGGAGTGCCAGCTGAACGTCTCACCTTGCTAGCCTTACAACCACAGGAGATTTGCTCACGCCGCTGAGAGGTGCCTGGGACAGGTTGCCACCTGCAGGAAGGCCCCCCGCCCCTTCTGAGTCTGCTACCCAAAGGTGCTCTGTGATCCCTGAGAGCAGCCTTTGGCTGATGCAGGGGAGTAATCCATGGCTGAAGACCCATCCTCCCTTCCCAGCTGGCGAAGGCTTTTGACATGTCCTGCACAGTGTCTCAGAGGGTCCCCAAAGGAAGTAAGCCCCATTGCCTCAGTAGTGGCCCACTTATTAATTTGTTTTTTAAGTTCATTGTTCAGGACCAGCACTGAGGCATAGCAGGTAAAGCCACTGCCTGTGGCACTGACATCTCATGTGGTCCTGGCTGCTGGACTTTCAATCCTCCTCATGTCAAATGCACCTAGCAACGCAGCAGAGGGTGGCCCAGGTGCTTGGGCCCAGCATCTACTTGGGAGATCCAGAGGATGCTCCAGTCTACTGGTTTCAGCCTGGCTCATCTTTAGCCACTGTGAACACTTGGAGAGTGAACCAGCAGGTAGAAGATCTCTCTCTTTCTCTTCCTTTCTCTCTCTCTCTCCCCACCCCCCATCTCTGTGCCTTGCAGAGTAAGCATTAGCATGAAGCTGGATTAAAAGTGCAGGCAGGGCCTGGCACAATGGCTCAACTGACTAATCCTTGCAAGTACCAGGATCCCATACAGGCGCCAGTTTGTGTCCCAGCTGCTCCACTTCCCATCCAGCTCCCTGCTCATGGCCTGGGAAAGCAGTCAAAAATGGCCCAAAGGCTTGGAACCCTGCACCATCGTGGGAGAGCCTGAAGAAGCTCCTGGCTTTGGATCAGCTCAGCTCCAAGTGTTGCAGCCACTTGGGGAGTGAAGCAGCAGATGGAAGAATTTTCTGTTTCTGTTTCTCTGTGTAGATCTGCCTTTGCAATAAAAACAAATCTTGAAAGAAAGAAAGAAAGAGGGAGAGAGAAAGAAAGAAAGAAAGAGAGAAAGGAAGGAGGGAAGAAAGAAAAAGAAAGGAAGGAAGAAAGAAAGGAAGAAAAGATTAGAAAAAAGGAGAGAGGAAAAAAAGAAAGTGGAGGTGGGACTCCAACCCAGGCACTCCAATGCACAATGCAGATGTCCACGTATTGTCTCAACCACTGCACTAAAGGCTGACTTGCCTCGAATTCATGTTTTATTGACTCTCCTTTCTGCCTTTCCTCCCTACTCTCTTACAAGTACTTTCTGCAATCACCTCCCAGATGGACTACGTACACCCAGACCCCTTTTCTCAGGACCTGGTGTTTTGGGGAATCCAACTTGAGGTAGAAATGGGCCGTGTCCCTCACTCCACAAGACACAGGGCACACTCGGTAGGGGGTTCGCCAGGGTCTCAGGTGGCCACTATCTGATCCCTCTATTATGAAATTCCTCACCAACCTTTCCTATTAATAATCTCACCCACTGGTGCTTGGTGCATGAGCCTATTATTTCATTAAGAGTTATAAAAACGTTGGCTTTCTAATCCTACCAATCCTTGTACATTTATTAGTTTTTTTTTTAATAAAGAACTTGTCTTCATAAACCAGGGGGTTTAGGTGACATGAATTCATGGGAAAAGGACAGGATAAAGGCCTAATTCTTTCCTTGGCAATGCTAATTTTCAGGAGAAGGAATTGGGCTTAGTTCCCTCCAGCGGTATTTGGTGATGTTTGTCTGAACTGAGATCTGTTCTCTACACACAATACAAGATGGCGTGCTACATGGTCAGTGTATGTTAACCACCTGCCAGCATTATTCTTCCTGATGTTTACATTTTCTCCCTGAAGGCACCGAAAGCCTTCGGATGTTACCCTGACAGCATCCTTCCTGCCTGCCTCACTCAGCAGCAACATGGAGGGCACAAACTGGGCACCAGGTATGTTCCTTACAGTGGGGCTTGTATTACATTTGAGAAAGATAGAGGATGGAGCACTGGCATCAGCTGGTTTACTATCCACATGCCCACAACAGCTGGAGCTAGGCTTGGGCCATAGCCAGGAGCCAGGAACTCACCTCAGGTCCCCCGTGTGGGCGGTAAGAACCTACAGACTGGAGCCATCGCTGCCTTAGCAGCAAGCTGCAGTCAGGAGATGAAGCACTGTGGGATGCTGGCATGGTAACTGCTGGGCCGAGAGCCCACGCTGGGTTGCTCCTGCTTCTAGACTTTTTCAGTGGACAGAGCTGGGAAAGACAGGTTCCAAAACAGGAACAACAAATGGATTAGGTACTTGTGCTGATTTTGTCAGTTCAAACATACCACCTTGGGGTTTTACTTAAACTCCTTGGTCTTCCCCTCATATCTCTCTTCTCACAGGAAGATCTCAGACTATATGTTACCATGACCTATTGATTTGCATCACACTGTGTCTTTCATTATACAGCTTCAGAAACACATCAATGTTTCAACTAGCAATGAAGCTTCCTTCCAAGTGATGTTTTGAAATTCAGTTCAAGTTTTTCTGTCCTTAAAAAAAAAAAAAAATGTCTCAGGGCTGGTGTTGTGGCATGCAGATTAAATCACTGGGTGGGTTCAAGTCCTCGATCTACTTCCAGTTCAACTTCTGGCTGTTGCACACCCTGAGAGCAGCAGGTGTTGGCTCAAGTGTTTACATTGCTGCAACCCACGTGGGAATTCCCGATTGAGTTTCCAGCCCTGGCTTTGCCAGGACTGCAGAGTAGACCACCTAATCTCTCGCTCCTCTATCTCTGCCAGTCTTTCAAATAAATGAATCATTTTAATAAGCTGAAAATGAGTGAATTAAATATATAACTTTAAAACCTAGAAAGAGATCAAGATACACAAAGTAGAAAAATAATGAAGATAATATTTTAAGTCTTTCCTTTTTTATTATTTTAATATGTATTACCCAGGTAAACAGGTTGCACACCCATATAGGTCTCCGATTAGGATGGAGAAGGTTGGGAAAAAAGGTGGGTGAGATAAATGATTCCGTCTTCCCTCCTATGTCTGTAGGGGCATGGCAGGGAGGGGTGGAAATGCCTGCTTCTCATTGTCACACTCTAGCAGCGCCCAGGATGGAGACAGTCCATTGACATCACCTCAGAGACCCCCGAGGGGGTTAAAGAATGTTCTCAGAGAATTAACTGAGAGGTTGATCTTGATTGTTCTAAGAAGTTGTCAGCTTTCTTATACTAGAGGTGAGAAGTTGTAAGGCCTGTTGGCTGTCCTCGGCTACCTCATGGTGCCCTCAGACCTACATTCCTGTTGTAGAACCTGGCCTGGAGTGTTGTTCAAATTGTCCTGCTTTTCATCATTTGAAGTGATACTTGAAGTCCTCTGTTAGCTTAGATGAGCCGGCT